CTTCATTTCAATTCATTTATTTTTTATTTTTATATTTTCAAATCATTTCCTTTTTAAAGAAAACAGTGATATAAAAACGAAACCGATATGAACAGGGGATTTAAGCCGTTAGCAGCCTTTTATATCTCATTTACAATATCTTTGTTATAAGATGTTTCTTAACAAAAAAAACATTTTTAAAGTTAAGGAACCAAATTTCTCCTTAAACAAATATATGGAAAATAAAATGTAGGCCTTCTTTAAATTGAATTTCAATTGAGAAACTTTTGGAAATAAATTAAGTAAATTTAAAACTTCAAAAACTGAATGACATCCTACAAAAATACTTTACAAATAAATGAAATGCTTCTTAGGGTTTCTTTCTATAGAATTTGTATTGCCAGTTCTTTAATCATACTTTAAATAACCAGAATGAACCATATAATTTGGAAAAATACCTAAATGAACTATTCATATTTAAATAAAATTTAGTCCTATATGAATTTCCTTTCAAAGTTTTAATACAATCATAATCATAATCAAAATCATTTGATAAACATATGAAGTTATAAGATAGTAACGTTTCTTACGAGTAAGTAATATGTATCTAAAACCCCTCCTAAATTCCTTACTCAGCTTAAAAACTGTTAAAACCTGAAACTGCAATAAATCTCTCTGCAAGACAGATTGCTTGGAAAATAAGTTAAGACTCTGATTACCCCAAATTGTACTATAAATATATATATATACAAACATTTAATGACCTTAAAAAATGCTCCTCTTAATGGCAATTAATCTTCTCCTTTGACAATGTTTTGCCAAAGTTCCGATAGGGAGACCCCCCAGGGAGTGGGGTTAATTATTTTAATGCACAATATATATATATTTCTATAAAGAAGTCGTTGCACTAATGTCCATTTTTTGTTTTAATTACGCTGCCAGACGAGTGACGAATGCCGGCTAGCGACAAGCAAATAATAATGGACGAATGTCAATGCCAAGGGCGAGCGAAACTTGTGCCGGTAACTGTGACGAAAACAGCAAGAGACGATGGTCAGTGAAGCAATAAAAAGAAATACAAAAAATAAACAAAAAATAATAATAAAACACTGCCACGAGCAAGACACCAAGCAACAGCGAAAAAAAAAAAATAATAATAAAACCAAAAAAGGTGTCAACCGAGACAGCCTTCAATAAAAAATCTCTAGCCAAACAAATGAAGAGTATGCGGAAGAAGCGAGAGAAATAGCTTTAACGACAGCGAAGTCAAGATGCTCTTTAAGGTAGAGAAATAGGTTTAAAACCTCTTGAAAATAATTTAAAAAAAAATAAAATAATAAAATGGTCGCTGGAATAGTTTAGTTATGTAGTCAAGGAAATAATATGCACTTAAATGCACTCTTTTAATATATTAAATTTAGAGAGAGGGCTACAAACCTTAAAAAAAAAATATGAAAAATGCTATAATTTCGTTACTCATATTATATTATATGAAAATTACAAGTAGTATATAATTTTTGATGATGTCCACATTCCTAGGCCGATATCAGTAAGCCAAATCTGTGTGTTTTTGGCCAGAATTGGAACCCAAACGACCAAGTCAACGAACAGTACTGCCATTCGAGGTGGCTCCCCCCAAATACAGAATAAATAAACTATAAATATAAATCCGCGCTGGCAGCCAAAAGAGGTAGCACACACAGAAAATAAAGCGGTAACAATGGCAATAATCATAGTTAAGGCAGTCGTGTGTTAAGCGCCAATAGAAATGCGAAACAATTAAGCCAAATAAGAGTCAAAGCAAATAAGCTCAGCCTCAAACACAAAAACAAAAGAAAACCAGCAAACCGACAAACAAAACACTCGTAAAATGCAGCAACAAAAAAAAACACAGCTACAAAAATTGGTAAATAAAAAGAAAGGTAAATAAACACGCATAACGATTCTTTGATAAGAGCTAAGAAGACAGTGCCGGCAAGGAGTGTAGGCCATAAAAAATCGACACAAAACTTTGAACGTAATGGAGGTCATTTAGAGATTATTTAGTATAAGTTATATTTTCCTGAACAGGAAATCAAGTATGAAAGAAGGAACTTAGATTCTTAATAATTAAAATTATATTTAATTAAAAACCCCAACTAGTTTCTAGCTAAGAGAACGTATAGATTTATCATCATATGCGGGGCGCCCGCATTCTTATCAAACTGAAAATGTTTCGCACTTATCAGACCCCAAAAGCAAACACTACTATATATTTTTTTTTAACTAGCGTTAGACAAGACAAATTATTACAGATGCCAAGGCGTGTTGGAGACACTTGAAGTATTACAAAACAAAATTACATTTGAAGTTCAAGTACTCGAAAGTAAGAGGTTTTAATGAAAACATTAAGTTTTATGTATTCAAAAGTAATCAAAACCTTCATCTATTTCCTATGGATTTTGTTTTTAGTATTTTAAATCGAGTATGCAGATTTATTAAACTATTAAATACTAACATAGGAAAGCTTTCCGAATTAAAATTAACGATTTTTTGGCTGAGTTATGAGTTTTTAAACTTTAAATGGTCCTTTATAAATCTCGATAAATATTAGTCAAACAATGCGATAATAATAAGCTTAATTATGATCCATTCTCTGTTCGTACCAATAATTTTATTGAAAACTGCAAGGGTATATTAGCTTCGGCCTCCTAAAAGAAGTTTCATATCCCGTTTTGTATCAAATCAACAACAAATTAAGCTTTAAAACGATTTCAATAAGTTCGCAACCTTTTCATCCTTCTCTTTCGCTCTCAATTAGCAAGTGATATGCAAGCAAGTTCACGGCCACGATCACATCGATGACACTCCCTCTCCCCTACTCTCTTTCTCTTGGTATTTATCTTACTTCCTTTCTCTTTTTTTTCGCTTGACTGACTCACCTGAAACTGTGTCGCCGAAGCTTCTCCTGCTGCTGTTGCTCCTCTGCTGGCTTCGACAGCGCCTCAGCGTAGGTGTCGACGGTGGCCGCAACCTCTGACGTCACCGGGCGGTAAATCAAAGGCTTCACATTGCGTTCAAAATCGTCCAGAAAAACGACATCATGAACGGGAATAATGCGATGATCGCTCACGTTGAAGTGCAGATCCCGAAAAGGACCGTTAAATAGGCAGCGAAGCGGTGAGGTCACCAGCACAGCGTCCTCAGAAGGTAACTGTAAAGATATAGTAAAGATATAATCAAGATATTGGATATATATATACCAACTCAAACACATAATTTGTGTTATATGTATTTATTATTTACATTATAAATTAACAATCATTTTATTTTACTCAGTTTCACGCTTAACAAATAAAATGAACGTTTCAAGCGTGAAAAAAAATGGATAAAAAATAAGTAACAATAAAATCCTATATTTAGGTTAAAATGATGAATCAAAAATGTTTGCACAAAACAAACAGTGAGAGGAACTCGCTAATTATCACATAATATTTAAGCATACCCCAGGTCATGCTAATTATCAGCGCTGCTGGTAAATACACCCAAATGATGGAATTTTTATCATTTTCATATTTTTTTGCATTATCTTTTTACATTTTAAAGATGATAAGTATATTATTATATCATAGATAAGAAAGCTTTAAATAAAAGAAATATTAAGAGAAAGATGTGATGAAGATGTGATTTGAACTCATGAAATTAATTAAAACCTAGAGACATGTGTTAAAACAACTTGAAACTTAACTTTACTTGAAACAAGTTAAAACTTGTTAGCACAAATTAAAAATCATAACTCTTTAAAACTTAAAAAATATATAGATTAATTTGATTAATATTTCACCTTGATTTTGCCATTGGTAGCTGAGAACATTTGAGGTGTTTTGCGGTTGAGATTTGATCGATTTTAAAGATAGTAATAATACCAATAAAATGCGAAGAAGCGAAAGGCAAATTAAATAAAATGCACCGTACGCATGCACACATTAAAACGAACGAAAAAGCACACGGACACAGCACACGTGCGTGCGCGGTTGTGTGTATGTATGTAGAACGGACAAGAAGAAGACGAAACTTTCGACACGCGTTGGGCTGGATTTTGTATTTTCTTTTCTCACTTCTAATTTTCTTTACTATTTTTCACTGCAGCTGTACTTTGATTTCTTTACTACATTTTTTCCCATTGTTATTAATTTATTCAACATTTTAATGCCGCTTCTGCTTTAATTCGCCAAATTTTCGCTCTATTTTTTCATTTCATTGATATTATTACGGTACTTTCTTTTACTTCATTTGCAGAGCACTTGCTTGGACTGTTTTTTCCAATTGAGACACAAAAACACACGCACAGGCTAACAAATATATAACTAAAGCACGAACGTCACTTGCACAATTTAAAATAACAACAAATTAAGCTGCGTCTGCGCTTTCAATCGCTTGCTAAACAAATTAAAAAGGCGATCGCAGATTTTTTGTTTTCGTTCTGCTGCCGCTGTGACAGCGCTGCCGCGGCGTCGGCTCAAATACGGATTAGTGGTGGGCGCGTGCCTGTCTTTCTTAGCACGACCCGACACGAGCTTCACTGATCACGTCGTGAACCAGTACAAGTTTCAATAAGCATTTTTAAGCATAGCCTTTAATTATTAATGGAAATTAGCGCCTACTCTTTTACTTGAAATAAAATACTTGCCTAGAGTCAAATAGTTAAGGTTTTAAAAACTATTTTTAAGCAACATTAAGTCAATTCAATTTTACGACCGGTGCTCATCTCTAATGCTCAGCTGGTTCAAAAATGGACTAATTAGCGTTAACTGCCACCATAACTGGCATAAGAAAATAATCGATTAGTCCCAATTTGCCTAGCAAAGTTCTGCACCTACTCGTTATGTTCTTCTTCTTATTCTAATTGGATGCTGTGAAACCATTTCCAGTTTTAACACCCTTATAAGTTTGTAATCGGGAGCCAGCAAAATGATCGCACTGTTTATAAAAAGCATATCGATAATCAGATATTTATTTTTATCGATATGTTGACACTTCAGATGTCTTTCCCATCCCTACTGGCAAATAAAACGCCAAGACCGGGCCCTAAATTTGTCGTATTAAAGAATTAAAACACAAAACAATAAATAACTGGTGAGTTTTACGATCGGGTTAGTGTCGCACTTTGCGAAAACTCCTCGTTTATGGTGAACATTTAGTTAAAGAGTTAGACGCTGTTTGGTGCAATACAATACTGCACACACACATACAGGCATGCGGCCTTCGGCTTCTGTGCGTGTGTGTACAAATGTTTGTGTCAATTCAGCGGCGAAAACAAGCCACGAAATAGAGAAATACACCAATCCCTTAAAGTTCCAATTGTTTTCCAAGCGCCTATTAATAGGTAGATGAGTTTTTCTAAGTGCTGCTCTGGTAATTGAAATACCGCAAGTTGTGGAAATAAAATAACAAAATCTTCCCTCGCACATGTACATGTAAATTTTAATGCAATGGTAGTGGTGGCCTGCGAATGAGAGAGAGGGAGAAAGATGGATGGAAGGATGCACAGAACATCATATTTTTCGTCTTCTTCATTTTCGGTGATTTCTCACTAAATTGTCTTTTTTGCAGAATTCTCAAAATCAAACAGAAAAACTACTACTACAGCGCATAAAACACACATCAAGAGTCTCGGACTTCATAAGCAATCGGTACTTAGAAAAAGGTTCGTTTTCACAGTACCATGTTTACTCGTCTCTAATTCGGTTCATTCAAAAATGGTGGCTTGTAAGAAAAGGAAACAAGACACCTAGATCTAGTTTGTCATAGAAATAAACGTCTAAATACCTTTCAGATAATATTAATAATACACCACAGGCATAAAGAACTATTTCTCAAGAACAAAAAACAGGACAATTTACAATGAATTTCAAGTCTAATAACGATTTATGTGGCAAACCACATAACCAATGTACGTTTTAAGTGCTCCAGTTTAACCCAAGTAAATGAGGATTGTATTAATATTATTAATAATACTAATTGAACATTATTTCGCTCCAGAGAACACCATGTCGCACACAATCCTATTGGTGCAGCCGGGCGTTCGCCCAGAAACGCGCACCTACTGCGATTTCGAGAGCGTAAACGAGTGCATGGAGGGCGTCTGCAAGATATACGAGGAGCATCTGAAGCGGCGCAATCCGAACACCCCAACTATCACCTACGACATTAGCCAATTGTTCGACTTCATCGACACTCTGATGGACATCAGCTGCATGGTGTATCAGAAGAGCACCAACACTTACGCCCCGTACAATAAAGACTGGATCAAGGAGAAGATCTATGTGCTGCTACGCCAGGCGGCCTTTAGCCCCAATGCCTAGGATACCAAAACAAGTAATAATAACGTAACTAACCGGCAGTTAAACTAAGAGACACCATTAACTTAACGGAGGACAAGAGTACACACCACCGTCACCACACCAGCCACATGAGGAGAATTGGGGAAATGGAAAATGCAACTCCCAGACTCGAACATGAAACCAAACTACGATCGATGATATATCTTGGATCTGGTGCCGAGGACGATTAAATACAAAGAGAAAATGCAACTGTTTAACTTAGTAATGGAAACCCTATTTTACAACTACTAATATAATGTATATATATACACTCAATTGACGACCATGTGTGTTTTCAATGAAAAGTTGTGTGTGCTCGTTGTTGTGCTACTGGATATTAATACTCTGGATCCAAAAACGATATTTGGGTAATACACTTTGCAAATATTGTCTTTCGCTTTCTAAGCTAATTTTTGTTTTTAGAGTTGATAATAAAACAAGAATGTTGTATAACATTTAGGTATACCTAACAGTTTTATCACTTTCTGTTCGTTCTACCATTTGGATCAAATATTGAACTTTTTCGCAATTATTATTTAAAGAGCTTAGATGTTAAATATTAGACATATTTAGATATAATATAAGATATCACCCTTTCTCGATATGCATATGTACATCCCTAGCACCCTCAGTGTTTCATGCTCTTTGAGCCAATTTATAGGCTTCTTGCCTTGAGTTTGAGTGCTTATTTAGCTCTTAGAATGTTCTCGGCCTAAGTCAATAACAATAAGAGTTTACGGCAACTGAAAGCTTACTCAATCTAACAAAGGGAAGCCATATAAATATATAGTTTCCCCCTCTCTGCTGCCTGTTAGGCTTGTCAATATGTTTTCGCTGGGGTTAAGAATATAAACCCCCCTCAAAGCCGGCTATAAACCTCGATTATCCACTGTGAGTTCCGGCCGGCGTTTTTTTTATGGCCAAATTAAACAAGACCTCAAGAACCTTTGCCCGCAGATATAGATGCTTGGGAATGACCTTGTCGATGCGGCATCTGTTATCCAATCTACCGCCGCATGTATGGATTCGATACGATCTCTGGGGCTGGGCCGGGTTTTTGAATCGGTTGGCTGCGCGTTGCTGCTTTGAACTTGGCGTGCGATATTTAATTAGCCCCGCAGCAGCAGCATTTCATTTAATATGAGTGTAGAGTAACCCGTCAGCAAAAATGTGCGATTCCACAGGTGTACGTATGCATATCGAGTTGGGAAATACCCATTATTATATAGATAATATATATACGAAGGCGTCACGGAAATACAAGACCTATTACTGTTATTAATTATTTAAATTTGTGAAAATTTTGAGATGTTTCTTAAATCTTTAAAAGCTCTTGCTGAATAATAATTGCAGTTGTAGATATTTTTGATAAAAAAACCTATTTCAAAACAATACTCTACTATTAACTATTAGATTTTCTCCTAATCTCAATTATTCTTACTAATAGTTTTAATTTACCTATACTTCATGAAGTTTAGATACTCTTAAGGAGTTTTATTATCAGAAACAAAGTGTTTATAGATCGTATATTCCCTGTAACTCCACTGATTTCCTAGGGTCAGGCATAAAACTGTAGCTCTAGCACAAAATTGTTCATATAGTTTTTCTTCTCTTTTTGTTTTTTTATAATATAATATCAAACTGGTTTTGTTGTTGCAATGCCGCAATTTCAATGTCAAGCTCCAGTAGCAGCCGCCTTTTTTGGTCAGAATACAAAGTGAGAGAGACGGCTGCTACCAGCTATGACTCCTCTCTCTCTATCTGTCTATCTGTCTGTCTAGGAACAAACACACACTGTCTTTGAAGAATCTCTGGGTTCCTTTTCTTTATCATTTCGTAAAGTTCTATTCTTAAACGGAATTACAAACGTAATTGGCTAAACATTAAGGGGTTTGCTAACAGCTACGGGGGAGTATATATGAAAAGTGGACCTGGCTAATGGCGACGCAGCCGCTGGGCCTCAGCCTCAGTCTCCACTTCATACTCGTACTCCACCTCCAGTTTCGGTTTCGAGCGGCTCTTGGATTTGGCGTCCTTCTTGCTTTTCGATTTTGGTTTCTTGTCGGGCACTTGGATATCCTGTATTGTGATATTTAATTTATTTCGGTTGTAGTTCTGTTTTTAAATATTTTTCTTAGGGTTTTCTTTTCGATTTTTTGGCAAATTTAAAACTGGAGCTTAAAACTTTACGCGCACACCGAATGGAAAAACTGCAACTGAATGGAAAAGCAAGGGGGAGCTAGCTCGAAAGCTCGCACAGCTTCTCAGACGGGGCGCGGAACTTGTTTACTATTTATTACTAATTATGGTAATTTTTTAAAAGTTATACGCAAAGTAGAATCTTTATATAAGTGTGATAATTGTTACAGATTCAGAATATAAATATTTTAATGATTTCCTTTAGAAATTCGGTATAATAATGTACCTTCAAAAAGAAACCCTAAGAAAGTGCCAAAAAATCTGTAGGAAACCCCCAAGTTAAGCAGGGGAAACTTACCTCAATATCATCAGCATCCGCATTATCGTCTTCATCGGACTCGCCGAAATCGCTACCCATTTCCACCTCCTCGCGGTGGCCGGAATCACTGTCGTAATCATCATCCTCATCATCATCATCGTCGGTGTCGGCTTCCACAAACTCCTCACGCAGAAGATCTCTGTTTGTTTCTGCCTCATCATCCACCTCCATTTCGTGCTCCAATTCCAGCTCCTGCTCCTCCTCGTCCTCATCCTCCTCTTCGTCTTCCTCCTCATCGACACGCTCCGCCTCCAGAGCCTTATTAAAGGCCGTCTGTGAGAAATTATAGATGTCACGGTATGTGCCATGCTTGAGACGGTCCATCAGCGCCTTCTCAATGTGATTATCGATCTTGGCCGCCACCAGAGCCTTCTCCTCGCGTCTCGCCTCACGGCGCTCAATCTTGGTGGACAGCGGAACAATCAGCTTCTGGCGTCTCAGCTTCAGTTTGCGCATTCTCATCAGATACTGAGTGATCTTCAAGAAACGCTGCTTGTTCTTGGCAATCATATATTTGGGCCAGAAGACGAGATTCTCGTTAATCTGTTCGATGGCCTTCTCAAAGTTCCGCGACAGCTTGATCCGTTCCCACAGTTTGCTGGGCGTATGCGACCTTTCCGCCGTTTTGATAAATAAATATATGATGCCCTTCTCCTCGCGAACGGTGGCATACTGCGAATTGGCCAGGGGACAGGTGCGTCTCGTGCAGAGACCCGTGAGGTTGTACTCATGGCGGCAGAAGGTGCGAGTGTCCGTCCTAAATAGGGTAATTTCAATATCAATTTTAATTCATATCTTGAAAGGAAACTGTCTTGATATCAGTGCAGGCTTGAAAAGACTTAAACGAGCCTTCAGAACTTCTAAGCTTTGCTATTGTTCTTTTCAAGCGCACACTGTATTTACACTTTAAAATTAACAATAAAAGAAGCTCACTTGACTTTGTGCGAGCAAAACGACTTGTTGATGATGCTCCAAACCACCTGCAAATATATATGCATTTAGAAATATATGATGAAATTACAACACGGGCAATAATCAACTCACATCGTCGTGCTGCATGATGAGGCGGTTTAGCTCTTAACTTAGTTTTTAAGTTTTTAATTAAATATGGGAACACGTGCAACGAACGCCGCGTTAAACGAAAAACATATGGTTGTGATTATTCGATAGGCGCGATAACAACAGTGGTCTGCTATCGATGAGGATAAGCGGTGACGCAAACCACAGATATTGCAGTGATTACAATAATCAATTGAAACTTAAAACTTATAAAATGCATACTTTATTGGGAACCGGTTATACAAAGATGATATTTTCAATAATTCAGTCATTTAATTGTAAAGGGAATTGCCTAAATACTTTAATCTTTTATTCCACTCATTTGCGAATGTCATAAAAACATCGATATCTGCGAAAATAGATGCTTCTTCAGCTCAACCATGCGTGCTATCTTAAGCGATATATATCGTGTCATTTTGCTTGGTTATGTTACTCTGCGCGCGAAAAAAAAAGAAGAAATTGCATTCCGAGCAACCGGCGTCACCTTTGGGTTTAGCTCAATAAACCCGGCATTACGGTGCACTTTTGCATAGTGCAACTATTCAGAAGCAGACCATAGGATCAGCAGCATCAGCAGCAGCTCTGTAACTAAGCATAATTATGATGGATCAACTGTTGCCGCTGGCGGCCGCAAGTCTGCCCATACTGGCCATTATCTTCGTGCTCGGTCTGTCCGCACACAAGGGATACACGAATATACGGTAAGGATACGGCAAAACCCACTCACTAAACTTTAACTCAATGCGGTTGACATAAACTTTCGCCAGATCCCGGTACAATGCCAGCGTCAATTGCTGGTTCTGCAGCGGCGACCACAGCGTTCCCTATGCAGAGCGGAACAGCTGGACCTGTCCGCGCTGTGACCAGTACAATGGTTTTACCAAGGATGGCGACTATAACCGGGACATGACCTCGCAGCGGGACTGCAGCCAGGTTTCGCGAAAGAGCAGCTCGCAGGGCAGCTCCACCATCTGTGCGAACTCCTACTATGCGGATGTCCTTGGCTCGAGTCCTGCCATGGCGACCATGAGCAGCAATGGTCTGTGCGACAGTTGCAATGAGGCACAGCGCCTGAAGGTGGAGAAGCTGGCACAGTTTGAGCCCAAGAACGAGGGCCGCTTTGATCAGGAACTAAAGGTTTTTAGGTGAGAATAAAGGAAAAGACATAGTCTGGCTGGAATATGTAATTATTGACCATATTCCAGAGAACAACTGGAGCAACAGTATCGCCTTTGCAGCACTTGTGAGCGGCATGTGAACGGAGTCCTTCACGAGAAGAAAAAGATGGTGCTGGGATCCAAGTTCCTCAACTTTGTTATCAAGGGAGCCGCACTGCTCAAGCAGCCATATATCAATCGCCTGGCCACCGCCCAGAGACAACAGAAATTACAGCGCTATCGTCATGTTTTGCTTGTCCTGACAATTGTCAACATTCTGTGCCTGATCTGCCGAATGCCACAAGCAACCAGCGAACAATTTACAAATATCCTGGGACAAACCATTGGTTCAGCCCTGTTCCACGCTTACTCGCACGTCGTGACCCTCGTTCGTGTCCTGGTTTCGGGTGTGATAGGAAGCCTTGTCGAAAAGCAAGATGTGACGGCCAAGCTCATGCTATATCTCAGCACCTTTGGCAAGCTCTTGCTCTATTCCGTGGGCCTGAGCCATCAGCAGGCGCAGCAGGCCACCTTTGCTTCCTGTTTCATCAGCAGTTATCCGTATGCCATGCTTGCACTTAGCTTCCTGCACAAGATCAACGATGGCCTCAAGTTTACGCGCTTCACGGTCATCCTGCTTTTGTGGAGTGCCTACGCTAGGGGCATCTCGATGCTGGCACCGCACATTGACGGCATCTCTCTCACAGTGAGTATTTGGTACAATTTTAAATTAATTTCGTTTTTTACACACATCTATTCATGTTAGCTGCTGGGCAGTGTAATAACCATCGGCCTGCTGACCACCAATCGCTCAAATCTGCTGAGACTGTCTGCAAACAATGACGAGTCCGCCGACGACAGTTTCCATCGGCTGTGTGCGGACGAGTGTATCAGCGATGAGGAGACCCTGAGTATGCTTAGCCAGCAGTTGAGTGACTGCAGCAATATATCCCAGGGTCTGCGCTCCCCCACAATCTACCAATCCACAGCTCCGTCAGTTTCGGCTAGGAGCCAAGTCGTGGTGCCACCGGCATCATCTGTGCTCTCTCTGGATTCACTGCACCTCTCGAATCATCATCAACAGCAGCAGCACTCTTGGCGTGGTAATGGTGCAGGAGTCGCAAATTCACTGAGCGGATCCTCAGTGTTCCAGCAGAAACAGCGGCAGCAACACCAGCACCAGCACCAGCAGCACCAACAACAGCAAATGATGATGCGTCAATGGAATCGGGGAGCTGCTCCCCTGGCCAGTAACGGACAACGGGAATACGCACGATCAACGCAAAGCCTACTGATGCCATCACGTTTGCCATCTGGCATAATGAGCGCCAGAAGTACTACCGGATTGAGCGGTGATGTCAATGCCTGGCTGGCGGCCAATCAAAGCATGAACCAGGACCTACGCACTGCCAGTGTAATGCGCCAACATCACGACGATGTCTTTGAGGATAAGCTACAGCAGCAGACGCTGCCACAGCTATTGTCACGCACCTCGTCACAGTCCTCTGGTTTCGAGTCCCATCCCAGACCAGAATCCTGCCAAGGACCAGCATCACCATTTTCGATGCGAGACTACAATTGCTCGGTGCCGGTACCCGCGGCCAGCCCTTACCAGTTCCCTGGGCAGCAGCAGCAGCAGCAGCATCATCATCACAATAACAACCACAACCACCAAACCATTCAGCCAGGCGATCTGCTGAGGAAATGGATCGATGACGCGGCCAGGGCACCACACCACCTCCACTAAATAGAGAGATTTTACAATTTACAAACGTATTTATACAAAGAGAAGGAGATAAAGAAGGAGAGAATGGATCTACGAGTATATCTTAGCCTTGTTCTGACATCCTCCTATATTTTTACCTATTGTTTTGTTCACCAGTTGCTTGTCAAACCACCAGCTCAGGTTCAGGTTAAGTAATCCTAGTCTTAGTAGGAGGAGGTTCATGTGTTCATCTAAGGATAGGAATTCACTCTAGGCAAACAATTGTACATACTATAGGCCTTAGTGCTTAGGTATTAAACTAAATCTCTTACAAATGATTATTGTTTTTGGAAATATATTATAATAAAGTATGGACAAAAGCGGTAAATATAAAATAAATAAACATATTTAAATAAACTTGCTCTCTGTTTAAGGGAATTTAAATATTAAAATAAAGTTCAATTACTGCTAAACAAATATTGATTTGCCTCTTTAGACAATCATACCACACTCTTCCAATAATGACTCAATAGTTTTGGTTCTTTTTCAAAGATTTTTTAAATTTTTATTCACATAAAAAGAGATAACACGAGCAGAATTCATAATTGTTTCTGTAGACGACGTGGGGGCTAGGGGAAGGCTCATTCTCTACAAAAAGCAACAACTAATCAGTTTCGGTGTAAAATTGATGTACATATGTACATCAAAATGTTTCACAATGTCAATTGATACGTATGTATGTGTCAGCTACAGTTACAGGTGCCTCTCCTTAACCTCACATTTCACTTTCGTCAGTTTTGAATCGATTTTTAACTCGGTTTTCATCAGCTTCTGCACTTTGGGCAATAAGAACATCAAAAATACATTCATTTTATTCATTGTAAAGTCATAGATATATGTATATGGGTGTGTGTATATATATGTATATATATAGCATAAATTATTTATGTATAAAGTGTATAACATTTAACACTAACACTATATTCTTAAGCGCTGGCTTTCCGCATCTCTCTCGCTCTGCGTCTCACACTTGCACCTACTTACTTACAACTCGCTAGCCCGTTAACTCGCTCTATCGCTATCTCGCTTTCGTTCGATGACTCGCTAGTAGTTCAGTACCTCGTACTCGTAACTCGTAACTAGAAGTTCGTAACACGTACTCGTTACTCGTTATTCGTACTCGTTACTCGCATTTCGTAACTTTGTAACTCGTAACATTTAAAATTTAATGAGGAATATGCAATCTCTGAGATTGTTTAACACATTTTAACACTCGCACGAATATCTATCTAGACTTTACGTATGTCAATCAAATTGTTTAATATTTATCAAGCATTACGTTATTAATAAAAAAAACAATTAAAAAAAAATAACATACATATGTATATAGTGTATATATTAGTTATATATAATTGTAGCAGCCTGTTGCTTTCTTTGTTTGTTGGTTCTAGTGTTTTCAGTTTTAGTTTTTTATTCTTGGGAGTGGGCGAAATTCGTGGTTGGAATTGGTGTGTTTTGTAATTGTAAAAAAAATGTTTATAAATAGTCGGTAAATAGTGGCTATATAATTATTATTATTATTACAACAAATGCAGATTTCTTCAATCGATCTTGATCTTCAATAATTAATTTTTGGGGCCTGTTTATGGAGTTTCCTCGTCACTATAATTATTAATATTTATGTACTAACTGCTACAATTAAATCGGTTTGTTCTGCTTCAGTTTCAGTTTATCAGTTTTTTCGTGGCTTCTTAATTTCGTATATATGTATATATCTTGTAGTTTAGGATAATTCCGATATCTCTGGGCTTACACATAACAACTATCATCAACATTAAGGGGTATTCATAATAATAGCAATATATATATTTACGTAATAGTAATGGTAATTTATAAAATAATAGTTATAGTAATAGTAATAGTTGCAGTAATAACATTTGTTACTCTTTATTTGTGTTTTGTTTGTGTGTTTTCTTCTTCCTTTTCCTTCAATTATAATTTAAAACAAATAACTATGTTAAAACCGTAAAACAAAAAATAATAATTGCATATTTTCTTTAAATCAACAAAAGTCTTTTGGAATTTCTCGCATATTCATTATATTCGTAGGCTACACATAATATGTTTATATATATATATATATATTTATTTTTATATAAATTATTAACTGTATATAATAAATTTCTCTTCGTGTTTTGATTTCCCAAAAAAAAGTAATTATCCTAATTTTAGCGCCAAACATATTTGTGTGTTAAGGCAATAGTTAAAAATATACATAACTTAAATTCTGAAACACAAAAAAAAGGAAATTTACAAATCAGACTTTATTATGAAAGATTTAGGCTTTTCAGCTCATTAAAAAAAAAACAAAAAAGCGTTTTCCAACTCATTTTCATTTTCTTCCCATTTTTAGTTTGCTTCTTCATTTGCTGTTTCTTTCTGTTTTTAATCTTATTTTGTTTTATTTATATTTTTGTTGTTTTGTTTCGGGTATTGTTTCAAGGGTAATGTATATGGCAGTCGTTATCTTTTGTTTTTCTGTAACCTTTTGAGATAATTTTTGATTATTTCGTTCAAAATCATTATTAAATAGAAAAAAAAATAATTAAAATAATAATATATATAATATTTACTTCCTAAAACGTCTGCTTTTTTGCGGATTTTTGTAACTTCATCTTAAAATCTTCCTATCCATATTTGTTTTTCAATTTTACTCAATTTTTAACTTGGTCAAAAAGTTGGTCCACATTGAAACCGTTAGTTAATCCATCAAAAGGTGTGTTTCTCTACCTAAATATATCGTATATACTTAATTCTAAGCCTGTGTGTAGAAGTAACATTTATTGTTATTGTTAAGAAAAAAAAAATATAATAAACAAGTCCACGTAGTTTAATTTGTTGATCCATTTAAACTGAAAACGAAAAGAGAAGAATATAAAAATTAAGTTAGTTAAGTTAGATTATAGTTTTATAAATATTAATGCATTCATGTCCATCCAAAAACATTATAAAGGATAAAGGATTATAATCTTATAAAATTATAAGCTGCGTGTCGCCAGACGATTTATTTTTGTACTCTAAAGCATTACGTTCGCATCTTATTCTTAATATTTTTAAAATTTTGCTAGGTATTTTTAATTAAGTCAGAAGCTGGTTACGATATGAAGGAGTCATTTCCGACCGTATAAATCATATATATTCTTGATCAGCATGAACAGCCGAGTAGATCTATCCACCTCAGGCAGAAAATAATTAAAAAAATTTTTTTTCCAAATTTTTTAAGGGGTTACATCGTTAAAATTTTTTAAAAATTAACAAAAAATTAAAATTTTATTAAACGTTAAACTGAGTATGCAGATTTATTAACCTAACAAAAACTAATATAGGAAAGCTTTCCGAATTAAAATTAATGCTTTTTTGGCTTTGTTATGCGTTTTTTAAACCTTGATTTGTGGAAAAAAATTTTATATAATTATAAATTTCAAGAATGCGAATATTTTAAGCTTAGTTATTATCAATATTCGATTTGATCCTATAATTCAATTGGAAATTTCTTATTTTAAATAACATTATATTATTATTATCCGATATATTGTTTTATTTGAGCACATAAAGAAACTCACTCTGATCAAAGGTGCTCGGATTAATATAGCTGATCAGATCCTGATCCGACATCGTGGTCAGCTCCTGCGGTATTGGTTGCGGCTGTACCGCCACTGCCGCCGCTGCAGCCACAGCTCCAACGGCTGCCGGAAGAATAATGCTGCCGGCTGTGCTGGGAGCCGATGCCTGTTGGGTCATCACCGCTCCATTGGTGGTCACGGCAGCGGTGGCCACCGACTTTTGCAACGCATTCTCGCTGGCCAGTGCAACGATCAGAGATTCTTGTGGTGTCGGCGGCACCACCACCGGCAAATGATGGCCATGATGATGTCCGGTTACATGATGACTGTGTCCATGTCCATGGCTATGGCTGTGACCATGATGATGGCCATGATGCTGGGCATGATGACTGTGATTCAGTGACTGGAAGTTGGCCGCCTCCACGGCAACGGCTGCGGCAGCGGCAGCCGCTGTTTCTGGTGTCGCCGAATGATTGGACAGCAGCATATTGACATCCGCGGGATTAGGATTAACCGTGACAGCGACGCCTGCCTGCGGGGAATGGGAGTGCGAGTGATGGCGATGGTAATGATGCTGCTGCTCCTGCTCCTGCTCTTGCGTGGTTATAAAATCGGCCGCCGCCTTGAGAATCATATTGCTGACGGCCGTCGATGTGGCAGTGGCCGCCACCTCCGGCTGCATGACAGCCGGTGGCATCGGTGGCAGGGTATCCACAACATTAACACCGCCCACAACTGCTGCCGCTGTCGGTGGACTCATCATGATGTTGCTGAGGGCCAAGGCAGCCACTGCAGCGTCCTGTTGCGTTGGCTCCGGTTGCATGGCAATATCATTTAATATGGAATTGGCCATGGTCACTTGGTGCGGTGCCAGAATGTTAGGCACCACCGCTGTGGCGGCTCCATTTGCCGAGCACAAAATGGTTGAGGGGGAGACAGCGGGATTCATGATAATATCAGTGGATAGGCCACCGCCGGTCACATCCACAGGGGCGGATTGCAGACCAGCAGCGCCGGCTAAAGCGGCCGCCGGTTCCGAATTGAGTATAATATCCTGTGTTAATGGTGAACTATTGGGTGAACTCTCGCTGCCGCTAAGGGAACTGCTGCTCGAGTTGGTGGAGCTCAGCGAGGACAGGCTACGTTCCAGGACAACGGTGTGCGGTGGCGGTGGTGGTGCTGCCGCAATGCCCACCTTGGCCTGCAATATGTCGGTCAAAGCGTGATCAATAACCGCCGATGTGGTGAACAAGGCCGGTTCAGTTGTTCCATTGCTGCTGACCACCGATGTGGATTTGGTTAGTTCGTCTATGAACTTGTGCACTTGCTGCTGCACCTGTTGCTGCTGAACCTGCTGTTGTTGCACCTGCTGTTGCACTTGCTGTTGCACTTGCTGTTGTTGCTGGGGCTGCTGTTGCTGTTGCTGCTGCTGCTGCTGTTGTTGCTCTTGCAACTGCTGCTGCTGTTCCTGCATCTGTTCTTGCAACTGTTGATGCTGCTGCACGACATGCTTCACAATCTCATTCTTAACAGCCATCTCGACGGCCACAGCAACGGCAGCGGGATCGATGTCAACGGCTGCTGCCACAGCAGCGGCTGTGGCTGGTGCCACAACGGCAGGGAAGCCGGGCAAGCTGTTGGATTGATCATACATGATGGTGTCCAGGCTGGGCTTTCGTGTAACGAATCGATGATGATACTGCATGGCGGCATTTGGGCTATCCGGCGTCGATTCACCAGTGAGGGGACTGTGCGAGCTGCTATCATCCAGGAGTTCCGTCTTCAGGGCCTCGGCACTGGCCACGGCATTCAGATGGACCAGCTGCTGCTGTTGCTGATCGGTGATCATGGGCGTGGCGCTGGGCAGCGATGAGCGACGAAGGCCTATTGGGATCTGTGTGGTTATCGGTGGCGGCATCATACCCGAATCGATCTCATGCTTGGCCTCCACATTGGCATCGGTCACCGAGGATGAACCTGAAGCTGGAGCTGTAGGATTGTTAGTTCCGGCCGAGCCAGTCCAGCCAACGCCGCTGGAGCCACTGGTGCTGCCACTGGGCGCCGCTGTGGTATCCATGAAACTGCTCACATCTACAAGAAGGAACAACAATAGATATGGAAGAGAAGCCTCTTAGTAATCACATTTTGGTGGCATGTCAAGCAATCGTCATCAATCATCGTTCATCATCAATCAATAAGAAATCATAAGAAAAAAATAAAGAGGATATGTAAAAACAGTCAGGGGTAGGGCTGGGGGAAAGCGCTTAGTCCTAGGTTTTAGGTTCCAGGTTTCTAAGAACGAGAGTTCCGGCGGAGAGAGATCCGCCAAAGTCCGAGTGCCCTTCTTCTGCTGCTCTTTCTCTATCGATGTTGAGTACTACAGCTTACAAATAAAAAAAAACTAAAAAAAATTAAAAAACAACAACAACAAACTTAAACTATTTAGAGAGCAAGAAGAGCATTCGAATTTTTTGGATCTGCCATCTCCTCTGGACGTTGGGGTAGGGGTTTTGGTCACTAAAACTAATTAATTAAGAACTAAATTAAGTCTAGATATCAACTAAATTATTTTTATTGCTTAAATGTAGCTTATGCTTGGTATTTCATGGCCATTCGTTCATCCTTTCATCACTTTATCATACATTCACCAAAGAGGGAATTGGAGAAAACAACACTAAGAGCTAAGAGGGAACTACGAGCATTTAAAATATATTTTTAAACACACACAGAATAATTAAGAGGCTTAAAACAAACCACACCAAAAGCTGACGAAATCATTTTATAATAATTAATATAAAAAAAAGATCTAAACTGGATCAGACGCTATGGTCGTTCTAAACAATCAAATAAATCACCTTCAGACAAACATTCACACAATTACAGAGCATTGGTGAAAAAACTTCACCAATTAAAATCGCTGAAACAATCATTTCAAGCAATCATCAAATTCAACAACCATTCACCAACAACACTCTTAAAGGTCAACTATCATTCACAAACAACGCTTTTGTTATTCAATCATCACTCACCAGCAACGCTCTTAAATTCGCTCACCAATCATTCACCAACCACAACTCAACAATTCAACATAATCATTTGAAAAACTATTTTAAAAATGCCAGAATCAATCTTTATTCACCAAACATCATATCCATTCATAACTCAATCACACACCACATCATACTCCAAGCTATTCATTCTTAAGACTATTGGCTTATTTAATTATGTCTAGTTATTGAACTTAATAGCTACTGTTTATATTTATATGTATATACCAAGAATTTATGGATTAGTAGTTGGTAGGTTCTATCAGGAGCCGGATATACACTAATTTATTTCTCCTAATACTTCTAAGCGGGGTCGCATTGATCTAAAGCTGTTGTCGTTCTTTAGGCGTAATGTTGAGGCTCTGAAGTCGAGCGATGCTTTAAATTCCACTCGTTCTAGACGAGTCCCATCACTACCACCTCTTATTTATATGGGTCTTTCAGAACAAGTTCCCGCTAATGTACGTGTTGTCCTTATATTTGATTCGTCTTCTGCATTTGGATAATTATTTCTTTCACTGTCTAATATTTGGTAAATATTTCCATCTTTGGTCTCCATCATAGAACCAAGAATTCCGTACATGATCTGATGTGATTAGTATTTAAGGGAAAACAGAAATTGAATTTAGGAATAGAAATATTTGTAATTTGAGAATAGGTCTCAATTTGCGTAAAACAAAATTTTGGTGAGAATGGAAGTAGAATTTGCTTAATGAAATATGTATATAGAACACAACTCATGACTGATTTCACATAAATTAGTATTAGATACCAATGAATGATAAGAACTATAGAGCCTGAAGAGGCATTTGTATGATTTTCCAATCGAAATCCCAAAGAAATTTCAAAACTATGCTCTAACAAACTCTATAAAATCTTCCAAAATTACGAAGATGCCTACAAAAATGGGGTTAGCTTTGGGTGACTATGGAAATATAACCCGTATTTATATAGGGGATGCTTAAAGATAATGCTCTAAGGTTATATGGTTGTGAAATGGGTTTCCCTTAATAGTTAATAGTAATGGTAAGTGTTTGTGTGTGTGGTGTGTTGGTGTGTGTAGGGTATTAATTAAAAGACATATATAAAGAGAAAAATTGAGTACGAAATGGCAAAAAAGAATTTGTACGTTTGGTCATATTAATTTGCAGGTCATTTTTTGATCTCTAAAAAAATGTGGATTTGTTTTTGATTTTTTTTTTTTTTTGTTTTAACCAGTACCCTAAAACGTATCCTTGATGCTGAACGTAGAGCTGATGGCTAGAGATGAGTAGAGGAGAGGTTGAGATGCTGATGAGGAAGACTCAAGTCCGTCGCCGGTCAGGTCATCTATTCCAAGGGGGTCGTCGGGTCTCCTCGTCCGGTATCGATCGCTGACATAGATTGTTCCATTTTATAGGGTATCATTTTTTGTACAATTCGTGTTATTTCGTGTGACGTGTGTGTGGTTGTATGGGTTGTTCTTGTCTATCGCAGTCACTTATCGATCGTTTCGATTAATGCGATTCTTACGATTGCCGCAATCGATAGTTCTTTCGATCTCTCATGGCTTTTGGAGTTCCAAGGCGTTGCTTTCCCAGCAAGCTTTTCATTTATTTTATTCTGCGGCCTTTCTTTTCGTTTGCCTCTTTGCTATATTTATTATAATATATATATGTATATATTTACTATATATATATACACATATATGTATATATAGAGAGAGAGAGATACAGGATATGTCGGTGTCTATATACTTGTTATATGGACTTAATTTTGGATTGTAATTTTGGCCTTGCATTTTATAGCACTCAAAATTGGTTACATATTTGACTATATATAGTTAGTTTGAGCACCTAAATTGCTAAGAGAAAGGGGAAGGAGGAAGAATATAAAGTAAAAATATATATATGCATATTTTTTTCGGAAGATGTTTTTTTTTAAGGTTTGGTGAAGGGAAGGAGTTTCTTTTTTTTTGCTGTTTAAAGATATCCTGATCTTTGACTTGATTTTGTGAGGGAATATCTGCCTTTTTGTGGTTATTTCTTCTTCACGAATCCTCCTGAATTCTTCTGCTTCTGCTTTTGCTGTTGCTGCTGCTGATTGTTCATCTTGTGTTGGTTTTTATCTCGCTTTTGGTTGAGTTTTCCTTTTGGGTAAGAAATGTTTTCTTTTTTTTGGGGGGGGTAGGATAAACTTGATCAAGAAAACTCTGCATTTCATTCAAAGCCCACACACATACATCCAGCACAGACACACGCTCAGGCAAGCACACACACACACACGCACAGCAAACACACTCACACCCACTAAGCACACACACACAGAAATAAATTAAGCCAGAAGAAAAGTGTAGCCGGAAAAGGCGAAAAACTACGGCAAAATACGGCAAATCGACCCAGAGAGAGATAAGTTCTAAACAGATAATAGGATATATATTACGAATCCTTGGAATCGCATCCAATATGGATCAGTTATCAAATATATGTATCATCGCAAAGAATCAAAATGTCAAGTTCATTCATGCAGCAGAGTTGTTTCAATCAGTTTCCGGTTCCGCTCCCGCTCCTTTCCTCACGAGAGAGAGAGGAGAAAGTGAGCGAGAGAGCGAGCGAGCGTGGAGAGAGAGAGATAGATATAAGGGGGGGAAGATTGGAGGAATTATATCTCCAAAGATTCGCCTTATATGTCAGTTATTTAATAGTTATTTTAATATTAATTTAAGGCTTTTTATGTTTTATCATTTCCTTATTTGTTTTTTGCTTTTTGTGCTTATAAATTAAGTTATTTTTTAAAGTTATATATTTTTTTGAGTGATCGCTTTGTTTACCGCGTTTTCCTACTTAAAAATATTTAATGCTTTATTATTATATTTTTATAGATATCGATTCTGGTTTCATGCGTTATTCGTACAGAGAAAGGTAGAGAGAAAGTAAGTAGAAAGTATGAAGGGGGAGGAAGGCAGGCAAAATATATATTTAGTAATGAAAATCCAAATGAGTTTAATAATGAAATGAACTCGATCTTTGGTTATTTTAACAGGCAATTGAAATGGAGAATCAAATAATGATTTAAGCTTAATTTTACAACTTTAGCTTTACATCTTTACTTAATCATAGATATTAAATTAAGAACTCATCTCTTTTTTTTTAATTTTGTTTCTTTTCGGGGTGTAAAAACATTTTAGCAAAACAATTTCATTCACCTTTCTTTGTTCAAAAGGAAAGACAGACTTGCTAATTGTTAAATATATATTTATAATATAATACATATAAAAAAGCTAACCAAAGACAGCAGAGAGAGCGAGGTAAGAAGTTAAAATATATAAAGATAGAAATAAAGAGGGAAAGGAAGGTTAGAAAGAGCCAAAGAATAACGCATGAAACGATCTCATTTAGTTATATATTTTCTAAGGGGAATGTTTTTTGTTGTACCTACACGAACAAAAAAAATAATAATAAAATTAACACCACATCAATGTTGGCATTGAAAAATAATAAATAAAAAATATGGCAACTTAAGTATTCGGTTAGCCACTATAAATTTCATTAAATACAACTAAGAACTGCCTAAAACAAAACTGACTAGACTACCTCACCTATAAAGATTACTATCATTGGTTCTTTCAATATATATAAATCTATACATGGGAGCTAATCGGGGTAGATACGCGATCTCCGATATATCTCCCCAACTGGGAGTTTAATCGGTTGATTGGTTTCGGGTTCGGTTTCGATTACGGTTTGGTTCTGGGTTACGGACAACACTTAGTCAACAAATAGATACCTTGGGCGTGGATTGTGTTACTTAACGTACTGGCAGCCGCCAGCGTCGTATACTGTCCCTTGGGCGTATAGGTGAACGTGTGAGGTTCGCTCTTCTTGCCACTGGAAACAATCGAGACCTGAACCTGGACGGGCTTCATAAGGTTCGGATGCAGATATGGCGGTACAGTGCATATTAAATGGGTCTGCAAAGGAGTAAAGATATAAGTAAGATGTTAAGATTTTAATTACATAAGAGACAGATCTTGCAAATAACAATAAAAAGTTGATTGATCTTAGTTAAGTGATCTCTTTAAGCTCTTGTAGTATTTTCTTATACAGAGAGTAATCCTTCCTTGACTCTTCTGCTATTTACAAGCTCTATCCCATTCGATTATCATAACAAAACGAACCTGATGAAGATATTCCTTATCTGGCAGGACGCTCTGCTCCCAGAGGGCAGCAGTTCCTCCAATTAACTGCTGACGCACTGCAATCTCGGTGGCTGGATCATCGCCATTAACACTATCATAGGTTTCCTGGAACACCACATGTGTGTCCTTTAAAAAGTTCTTGCCAATAATGAACAACTCCAGGCCACCATCCACAGGACATGAGTTAAGTGATTTTTTGCAAATCTCTGGCACACCAGGGGGTTGAGCTAAAACAAAGAAATAATTAAATATTAGTTTGTATTTTGAAATATTATTAAAATAAATGAATAACTCACTGCAAATGATGGGATTCGAGCAGACCTGAAGGGTCTCGGTGGTGCCATCGTCGCGGGTTAATTGAGTGCGGAATACCATACGGCAGCGTGTGGATTTCTTTTTGTTCTTCTGGGCCAGATGCTCTGGGAAACGATGCTCCACATCGACATTGCGTTCCTGCAGGAGGTAATTATATATTAATTATACTGTTACATGTATTTATATCTCTTTGCAGACTTACCTTTAGTATGCCAACGCAATCACAGGTAATGGTCATTTCCGTTTCCGGCTTGAAATCAATCTCGATGACCATGGTGCCATCCACTTTCTTCTCATTGCACTGCGTCGAATTCTTGCCAGCAACCTTGCAAGCCTGATAGAACATATGCGGCGCCACACGACCTATGTCAGTGCCTATGAAGACCTGAAGGACAGCATTCTTGTCGTATCCTGTTAGTCGGACAATGGGGAAACCATTCCCACTGCGATCCTTGACAGCACCGCGGCTACCCTCCGTTTGATATCTCGCCCGATGCTGTTGCTCCGGCTGTGAGACAATCTCCAGCTGCACCTGGCCATCATTGGAGCTGGCGATGCTATTCAAGGGTGTGATGGGTTGCCGCTTATTGGCCACTCTGGTGACAGTTCTTGCCGAAATGAATCTGTAGAATTTGTTGGCGAAGGAAAAGGCGGCAGCAGAAGAGACAGGAAGAGAGAGAGGGGAAGGGAGAAAAGAAATTTGGGGTCAGATTCTGATCGAGAATGGAACTTTTTCGGCTCCAAGTTTGGTTTATTTGTCTAAGGATCGTTAAAACAAAAAAAATTTGAATGAGGAATGCCTTGTACTTGTACTTGAACTTTGGCCAATGGTAGCGATCAATTGATGTTTTGGGTTGTATATATACTATAGTATTTTTTGTTGGTTAAATGATTTATGGTCTAATTTATGGTGTTTTTTAGCTGCGATTCAAAGATAAAATTCATTGCTTCAGAGATACAAAGATACAAAAGCTACAAAGCTATAGATACCAGATACAGATGAGGCCAAATAAATGTTTTGTGAATGTGAAATGGAATGGAATGAATGTTTTGCTGTTGTTAATTACACGCCGCACACACATGGAACAACATATGTACACAAATATATATATTTAAATATATATAAAAGCCAAAAGAATTTTATAGATATTTTTCATGGTTTGCATGGCACTTGCATTTGGTTTTTTTCTATCTTGCTTTTTTTCATTCGATTTGGTTTAAACAAAAACTGTTTATAATTGTTTCTAGAATTTTTTGAACACAAAAAAACAGGATAGAATGACACAAACAACAAAACACACACATTAAACAAATAATTTACAAAAAAGAACAATAAAGAATTAGAGAACAAAAGCCTCAAAGTAAATAAAAGTATGTCGAGGAAAAGGTTTTGAATCCTAAAAACTTTCAAAAAATTGTTTCTTTTCTTATTTGATTATATATCTTTATATCCCTTTTTTTTTAATTAATCCGAAATTGTCTTGAATACTCTTTATAAAATTTTTAATAAATTATCTTGACTCAGCCATATTTTGAATGATTTTTCTAGGTTGCTCCACAAATCACTAAAGATTTTAATGCCTTAAGAAAAGGTGTCTAAAAATGAAATTTGGAAAGCAGAAAATTCAGTATAAATTTGTTTTTGTTTTACAATTTGTCCCTATCCCTATCCTTTCACATTTACTTAATTTCTTTTGTATTTTTCTTTTCATTTTTGTAGCTTTTATGCCAAGAAGTGTACTTTTTTGGATTTCCAACAAATTAAACTAGAGATGCATATCTTTTTTAGAATAGATTTGATTAAATAATTTTTTTTAATTTTGTTTTAGAGAAATTATCGTTTTTTAGATGTTTTTTTTTTGTTGGTTCGTTTCACTGAAAGCCATCCTGCTTACTTTGTCTCATTGTTGGTGCTCCGAGGCAGTTGCTTGCCCGTGGCTGGAGCGGATGCAATGGTGGCCACTTCTGGCAAGGTTGGAGCTGGAACGGGAGCTGCAGCTGGAACTGGAACTGGAACTGAGGACTCAACAGTGGTTGCTGCCACCGAATTGGCTATTTTGCGTATAAACTCATCCTCGCTGCAGGCATCATCGTTGTCCAGTTCCACCTGGTTGCATTCGAGCTTCTTGCGTTTGGTGATGTGCTTCCCATGGCGATGATGGTGATGATGATGTTGTTGCTGATGCTGTTGTTGCTGGTGATGCTGCTGCTGCTGCTGTTGCTGCTGCTGTTGGTGATGATGATGCAACAATCCGGAATAATGGAACTGTTGCTGCTGCTGCTGTTGTTGCTGCTGCTGTGTATGTTGCACCTGATGATGCTGTTGCACTGGGTGATGCTGCTGGGTAAAGGCATTTACAGCCGCTGCCACTGCCGCTTCGGTGGCCTGAAAGACACCGCCAAAGGGATCCGTAGTGGAGTTGGAACTAGTGGTGGTGGTGCCGGTGTTGGAGGTGGATTTACTGCCCACGGATGATGCCGTTGCTGCCGTCGAGTTGTCGTTGACAAAGCCCGTGTCCTCGTCCAAACTGATACTGACCGGTGGCGAGGTGGTGGCTGAGGAGTCCTCTGAGGAGGAGGCCGAAACCAGATCGAGATCCTCCAGATATTGGCTCATCATATTCCGGGCGTGACGCGATCTATACGTTAACATATACACACATATATATATATATATACAGACATTTATTCATGTACAGCAGCACACGCAGACAGCGTTAAGTATTATTTTAATCGATTTGTAATCGTATTTAAATCGAATCCTATCGATTAAACAGTTATCGCCTGCCTATCGATGCTCAAATCGTAATAATATTATTTACTATAAATGTATTACTTTTTTGTAATACTTTTTAAGTATTTAGATTGTAATATTTAAAATTTTGCAAGCACAATGTCTTTGTCTAATAATAATCGATTGCTTTAAAACTCGATTATTTATTAAAATAGATATGTATAATTTTGGTAATTCCTTGATAAAAATATAATTTTATAAAATATATAGTATATAGAGAAGTAAATAAGCCCTGCAGCATTCCTAAGAAAATTGCAAAACAAATAGAAATCAACAGAGTATCAACAATCAATGTCCAATTGCATTTTAAATGCAGTCAGCGAAGTCAATTCCAAACAGAACTCAAGGGAACTGGGACTAAACTGCATATAACTGATTGGATCTGAACGAAACTAACGGCCTGTGAACTCAATCGAGATCTGTGTCTGTCTTTTATATTTAATTCGACAAGAGAATATCATGGTAGAACAGACGGTTGAATCTTGGGGAAAACAATAAAGAAGTCGAACTTAAGGAAACCGAATATAATATACCCTTGCAGTTTGCAAATCGAATTAAAGGAAATCGATCATAGCTACGTTTAAAATATTCGCATTATTTGAATCAATATTGTCGATATTTTTATATGACAATTTTTTCGAAAATTCAATGTTTAAAAATCTTATAACTAAGCTAAAAATGCATTAATTTCAAATCGGAAAGCTTTCCTATGTTAGTTTTTAAGAGGTTATCAAACCTGCGCACTCAATTTACAATTTTAAAAAATTAATTTTTTTTTTCAATTTTTTTAACTGTAACCTCTTATAAAATTTTGAAAAAATTTTATAAAATTTTTTTCTATCGAAGATGGCTTAATCAATTCGGCTTTTGATGCTGATCAAGAATATATATGATTTATAGGGTCGGAAATGATTCCTTCACATCGTAAAACGTTTCTGACAAAAATTAGAATACCCTAAAAAAAGTATAAAAATTGCTTCGCCCTATTAATAAAGTCCCAACTAACCACATTTGTATTAAATGATTTAAATTAGTTAAATATTCCTTTATAAACATAAGAGATCAAAATAAAACAATGTCTAACTTACTGAATCTAGTTCCCCTTATTAGCTAATACAACTGATAAAGTTAGCAAAGGTCTAGTTATATAGAGTAATGCCACATAATCCGTATACGTAAGTGATCATCCAGCGGCTATTCATTCGATCCAAATCCAAATCGTAAAATCAGAAAAACGGAACCAATGCGAATGCAGCCCCCGCCGATTGCTAATCAGTGGAGCAGAGTAAAGCAAACTCATGGCGTCAACGGTGCGTATAAGTAATCGCAGCGAAAAAGAAAAGAAAACAAGCCAAAAGTCATTGCCCAGTGAGTGGGGGAAAAATATATATATACTATATATATATAGTATGTGTGTTTTCATGTAGAGAGACTGGCCCAAAATGAATGCAAATTAAATCAGCCGCCAAAAAAATGTGCAAATAATCAGCAAAGATGAACGAACCAACAGATGATAGCACTCTGTCCTACCTAATCTTAAATACTGTTTTAGGGCTTTATCCACTTGTCAGTAAAATAATTTCCTTATTAACCTCCTTTTCAAGCACTTTGATTAGAATTATTATTATTAAACAGCAAATCACTTATTTATCAGTAGATAAACGATTAATAATGTTAAAGTGCAAATGCAGTTGCTAAAACCAACAAGCAATTACCGAAAGCCCTAAATAAACCCAATAAAAATCACACCAAACTCTTTGCTCTCCTTGTTGTTATTTTTTCTACTTGTTGCATTTATTATTATTATTTTTTGATTTGTGATAAGGGGGCAACCCCAAAAGGCAAGCACCTGCCTCCTCATCCTCCTAGTCAGAGGAGAATGCACAATTTGCAAGGAGGGTAGGTTTAAAGCTGATGGGGTCCGATAAGATAATGCACCGATATTTACACAGATAGTAGAGGTCTGATCATGCAATTACAATAGCTACGACTAGGACATATGTAATATATACCTGGGACAACAACAACACCGACAACAAAGGCATTATAATTGCTAAAACAAAAACAACAACATGAACATGTTTCAATTGAAATTAAAATCTTAATCCGTATCAAATCTATTTGAAATAAGAAAACACATTCACCATGACCTACAAAAGAAAAACCTGTCTACAAAAACAAATGTAATAAAATAAAATAAGATAAAATAATAACCCCCAAAGTGTCACATGATTGAGCAAAAGTATTTTTATGTGACTGATGCTCAGGCTTGGTGATTGATGGATATGATTAATATAAGAGAGTTAAAGAGAATGGCCATCAATTTAAGAATTTATTCCCAAAAAATTGTAAAGAATTACTTTTCATACTTTATCATTTGATTTCACTTTTCTTAAAATTTTGATATCAAATAAAATAAAACAACTTCAAGTAAAGAACTTCCACGCATGCACATACATATCTCTCTTTTTCCAGACATTTATAAATAAAGAATTTAATTTAAACCATTTCACTATCTTTCACTTGACCAAACTATTCTATTGTGATTGCTTAACTCTATTAAGATATCTTTTTTTGAATCTCACTTTCTATCATTTTCACAATTCCACATTTTTTAATAACAAAAAGCAAGTCAAGCACGCGCACGTTTGTTCTGATCAAAGCCTAAAGCCGGACTGTACTGAGGGATTTGTGCCTCTGTGGGGTATTTTGGATTTGGAGTTATCAATGATTCTTAGTGATATCCGAGAATGTTCCGTCCTTTTTTCCAATTCTTTTCACTCTTTATTTACTTTTCCCCCTTTTCTTTATTGCCATTTGAGACGTCTATTGACCAGAGCAAATGCGTTCCGATTAATGGCCAAGTTCAGCTTGGGAAACGTATAAACAAATATGATATGGCCATTACTCACATAGAACACGCTCTATTCTAGTTGTATATATAACGATTCTTGAAATCTATTCATAAAGAAATGTTTACTACGGTTTCCAGAATGTGTAATTATACATAATATATGATACTATAGGAATTAGGAGGCTGTGTCCGTTAAAAACGGACAATATTTTTGTATTATTTTTAATTTAATAAATACCTAAGTATCTTTTAAATCCCTTGGTATTTTCTAGTTTACTAAAATCATGACAGCTTTAAGCATAAGCTCCCCTTAACGGACAACAGACAAGCCTAAAACTAATAATAAGTTGTTATAAAAAATTCGTAGTCTTTCCAAAGTATTACAAACAAAGCGGAAAATGAATATTGAAGCTTTTAAATAGTTTCACATTATTTTTCTATATATATATATTAATATATATCTGTGCATTAGTTGTGTTGTGCTTTTGCGTGCGTGTGAATATTCGGAGAGATGAGGATAGGCAATCGTACAATGTTCATCAACTATTCGAAACCATGAATTAAAACAAACGCAAAACGAAATGAAATCATGAACTGGCACTTATCATGAACTGGCGCACTTATCTCGAGTTGCGGCTGCGCATGAACTCGTCTAAAGATTTCCAAAAAAAAAAACACCGAAAAAGTGGACTTGACTTGTTCGATGTGGATTAGTTTAGTTGAAGAGATGGGACTCACCTTGATACAGGTATCGCGCGTATTAAATGCTGCTGTGGTGAATGTTGCTGCTGTTGTTGCTGCTGCTGTTGATGGTGTTGCTGATGCTGTTGCAACGTGTTGCTGGCCACTGCTGCTGCTGCTGCCGCGGCCGCTGCTGCAACCGTGTTGGTTAATGCACTATTGACCAAAAGTCCGGATGATCGCTGGCCGGAATCACCGCCCGTCGAACCTGTCGAGGATCTCAGCTCTGTGTGTTGATCGAAGCCGAGGCCACTGTCATTGGAGTTGTCGCAGGGCGGCGGATGTGGTCGCTGTGGTATTCGCTTGCCGGGTACCATTTTGCCGGGACCCGCCTGTAATAATTTAAATAATAAATAGGAACTAGTATCAAGAGTCTAGGAGGAGTATTATCATTATTGAGACTTATTATAGAGTTGAAAAGAAAAGAATCTTTGTGAGACTTTAAATTTATCCTTCTTTGATAGGAAATGCTTTTATATATACCAGATAAGCTAATGCATAGGTTTGTTTATTGATCATCTTGGAAGTTATGATAACAATAAAACTGAAACCTACTATCTATCTCTCTCAGATGCTTAGTCAAGTCTTAAACCTAGGTTTTAAACTAGGGCAGATAAAAATTAAAGACATAATTTGAGAACTTTATCCTTTTTGTACCTTATTTTTGGCTTTAAACTATATATATTTTTTTAAATATATATTTATTTATTTAAACTTACCCTGGTTATTGTATGCAGTTTGCCGGGCAATCCCTTACCCGGCTGTCTTTTCGATGGTATGCGAAAACCCTTTCGATGTATTCGCGCACTCATTGTGGAATTCGTGGACATGGTCATTCTCATTCCTAAAATTAAAAGAAATCAAATGATGATTAAAATCAAATTTAATAAATATATATAATATTAATTTAAACCAATTGCATATCAAAATCATTTAATTTTCCATTAAATAGTATTTTAATTATATAGTAGTAATACTTGGCTCATTGAAATACAAAAGATAGATAGAGAGATGGAACCGAGAACGGAGAAATCTGGTCTCGTTTGCAAACTTAAGTTATATGCCAGGAAAATTGTGCTGATAAAGCTGAGGCAAACCGACTACTCAGGGCATTGAACTTCCCTCCTCCGGGGACGAGAGACCGTACATATATGTACATGTAGTTGAGAGCAAAGCATAGAATCTGTTTCACACTGTAGACTATTGTTGCTGCAGCAGTTGCATTCCCATTGTTGATCCCAATTGATGCTCAATTTTCATTTGCATTTCCATTTTCATTTCAATTTCAATTCAGAGGCGCGCAACTGCAACAGCAACAGCAAAAGCAGTTACAGTTGCAGTTGCAGGCCAGCCATCAGCGTCAGTTCCAGCTGTCATCGCAGATTCCAGCTTTATTTTTTTTGCCCGACATGGACATGGACTTACTTGTCCATATGCGAGAGACTCTGTATTTATATATGTTTGTATATACATCATCTGGCGACTGGCCTGTACATATGTGTATTATCATGGGCTGGAGCACAACAATGGGCCGGAGTCCGCTGATAAGGAAGCCAGACAAACCCAACCAAAACCAAACGAACCCAACACCACCCAACCCATTAGCAAAGCTCCAATGACTCCTCTCCTCCTTCTCATTTCCCACCCAGCATTATTTTTATTATTATTTCCTTTATTAGTCCAGTCCCTCATTCCCATTCTTAATCGTATATGTTTATTTTGTATTTATTCTGCTGCTTGCAAAAACATTTAATTATAGTGCAATGGTATAGCAAATCTTTTGCTTAATCCAATTATAAAGTTCCCCTGAAATTTCCTTCTAAATATTTCTGTAACTTTATTTTCAATTTCAATTTGAATTAAATTTCTTTCAAAATTTTTGGTAAAATTTCTTCCCAACTTCTTTTTAGATCTTCTTCTAAATTTCCCCAATATCCCTTCCTAAATTTCCTTTTAAATTTCTTTATACGTTTTATTCCTAACTTCCTTCTAATCTTCTTACACATTTCTTAAAAGTTTCAGTGCAAAACGCCATCTAGAAATCATTTTAAATTAAATTTCCCTTTTATTTCCCTTTGTATCTTGTACTAAATGTCTCTGAAAATCTTTTTCCTTCTAATTTTTTTCTAAATCTCATTAGAAATTTCCTTTTTAATCTACCTTTAAGATCCAACCAAAATTTCTCTTGGGATAGACCACCAAATAGACAGTTACATTCTGATAATAAGGGGATTTTCAACAATGCTTTATAATTATTAATAATATATTAAGAGAAACATTAAAACATACTTTAATGCCATTGGAATATACGCATATAGATACTGATCAAATTTCTCCATAATGTAAAGTTAAATCAAAAGAAATATGCTTGCAGGTAAAATAAATAAATAATAAAGATAAAGACCAATGTAAGGTGATATATGTATAATTATAATACCCACTCACTCCCCCATCGTAATTGTGTTTGCTCAGTTGATTTTAACACCTTTTTTTCCTACCCAAAATGTATCTCCAATTTAATTCTAATGAAATCTCTCACTAAATGCATGTGTGTTCCGTTCCCTAATTCCGGTAAAACCGTTAAACAATTACGAGCTAATTTACGAGATAAGAGACTCGACGAGCAAACAAAAAGCGCCTTTGATAGCACACCAGGCAAAACGAAAACAAACAAACAAACTTTGATCTCCAATTACGAGGATCCCTCGGTGACGTCCGTTGCGCCCCCTAAAAGCATATATACATATAAATATATATATATCTATATAACTTTATACATAATTTTAGGAAGGTGAGAAAATCTGTTCTCGCCTCTTGGCTTTTATGATGCCAAAATAAAGTAAAAGAAAAGAAAACGCACCCTTTTTGGCCTAACTAACCTTGGGCGGGAATCGAGCAAACAACAAATATATACATATTTATTGTTGGGCTTGTGGAACGCGCCTACCTGAGGAGGAGGCGGAAAATGGGCCTTACCTGGGATAGCTACAGAGATAAGATCGGACCCAGAGGGAGATGGGGATACCGTTTGCTATTGTTTCCAAGTGGATAAAGTGCTGTTTCATTCCCCAGATATAGATACGGATACGGTTTACCGATTAAAGATACAGCAACACGGTCAGATATTGTCAGATAAATGATAACGAGTCATGAGATACAAAAAGATCTTTGAAAATTAAATCAGAAATGGATATTAATTATGAATAATTAAAAAAAGAAGGTTTAGTTAAGAAAACAAGAGGCTAAGTATATTTAAAACTAAAAGAAATGTTTTTAAAACCCTTTGATATATGAACATAAACACAAAAATTTTTGCATTGAGATGTCTAGAAATTCTCAAGTCTGTATTCGGGAACAGGTTTAAATATAATGAGTTTTATATTACCTAAACCTATAGCTTTTATCTATCGCCAAAGCCAATATACTTTGCCCTCTCAATTGGCTGACAAAAAGTCAGACTTTAATTTATTTTTCACCAGAAGAGAGAGATCTCAGTAAGAATCGGACTTGGATAGTTAAACACAGATGTTGGTTGGTTTGTTGTTCTCCAAGTTTTTTTTTTCAGGTATAATATAGCCAGGTTCTATAATTAAACGCAGACTCCTCCAAAACAGATTGTAGATTAATCATATACAAAAAAAAAAAAAAAAACAATGAGAAGGTACAGAGAGCAAATTTAGCTGAAATTAAGTGTAATGAACCCAACTGACCCACTGTGCACGCCCCCAAAACTGCTTATAGTAAGTGAAAGGTTTATTAAAGCGGAAACAAAAACTATAAATTAAATTCTGTAATATTTTTTTAGGCAAAAAAAAACCCCTTTTTTGTGGGTAATAGTTGCTATTTGCATTAATGTGTTGGTCAAGTGTTTGGGTTTGCGGATTGCGAATGTATTTTATTTCTATGTTTTGTTTTTAGTGTTTTCATTTTGACCGTAATCTTATCAAAACAAACTTGGCAACTGGCTAAAAAAAACGTAAGAACCTGAGAAACCAAACCAAACATGAGACTGAGTGGGAGATATGGAGAAAGGAATGGGAATTGAATCACCCACGGCGACAAGAACTGGCGCCTCTCGCGCGTAATTGGAGATTGGAAAACGAACCATCCAACATTTCTGGCTGGATCTTCGTTAGGCCAGGAAATATCAGGTGTACTACCCACGATTATGGCATATATACTACATATAGTGTATGGTTATCAAGGGCGGGCCAGAGGAGAGATTTGTTTTCGAAGCAATTACGACGTGTTTGCTGATAAGCAACTTGCAACTTGATGTTGGGATAGTACAAATTTAAAGAGGGTTCGATTTTGTAATTTTATAGATATTTTTAAAGGTGTTTTTATAAAGATATCTAATAAAATAATATAGATATAAAATATAAGATAATATAGAAATATTAGGTAATATAATATTAAAATATTATTTTATAGGAACCATCAAATATGGTATAAGTAGTGAGGCTCTTTCTTGTGTTTTTAATTAAAGCCTGTCTTGTTTTGTTTTCGATCAAAGATATAAACGTTTATAGAAGGTATATACCTTATAATAAAAAAAGATAAGTAACGTTATACTATTTTTATCTGCATTCTTTAATCAATATTTTTTTATATTTTAATATGGGAATTTGTTCAACTAATCCAAGTTTTGAAAATTTATAACTCAGCCAAAAAAACATTATTTTTAAATCGGAAAGCATTTCTATGTTAGTTTTTATTGGGTTAATAAATCTGCGTACTCAGTTTAAAATTTTAAAAAATAAATTTTTTTCAATTTTTGAAAATTTTAACGATGTAACCCCTAATAAAATTAAAAAAAATAAAAAATTTTTTTTTTCTATTTGAGATAGCTAGATTGATTTGGCTTTTGATGCAGATCAAGAATATATATGATTTGTAGCGTCGGAAATGACTCCTTCATACCGAAACAACCTTCTAACTATATTTTATAGGCAATAAACCTACCTCTTAGAATATAGTTTTAAGAGCTTTGGTTGTGAGATTTTCACAATAACTTTACAAGAATATACCCAAAAATTATTACTCCAAGATTTATAGTACATTTTCTTAAAATTCACAACATTTATTTGGATAACAACCCCCCTCTCGTTTTATATATTTTTTTCTTACCGAAATTACTTTTGTAATGATGCTGATAGGCTTGTAAATTTGTATTGTTGTTGCCATTGTTGCCGTTGTGATGGCCATAGTGATGATTATTATTGTTATTATTATTATTGTTGTTGTTGCCACCAGCATTGCCATTATTATGGTGGCTAAGATTATGCATTTTGGATGGAATCCGATAACCGGACTCATAATGTTTATACTGATTGTAGGTGAAGCGCATTTTGATGGATTTCCTTTAACCGCGTATGTGTGTGTGTTTAATTTACTCCTCTCAAAATTTGACTATATTTAATTCATTGAATTAATATTTTATGTTTCTGTTTCACTCTTTGTACTCTCTCCTCGAGTTTCTCGTTCTCTTTTTGGGATAAGTGCTTTTAGTATATTTTATAAATATTTTTACAGGCATAGGTTTTCTTGCTTCCCTCTGACTAATTGTTTTTTTTTTCCTTTTTGTTATGTTGTTGGTTTCTTTTTTGGTAATTATTGTTGTTGGCACATTTAATTGATGTTGTCCTTTAATTATATTAATTTGGTTTTTGTCATTTCATTGTGATTGTGGTTTTGTACATGTGTTTGTTGTAGTGTTTTTTGTTTGTTTGTTTCACAATAAATACGTCTGATTTGGCTTTAATTAAAAAAATGGTGGGGATTAAAATGTATTGAAAATTTTATTTAACTTGAAAAAAAAAACCGCGCCAGAATTGCTTAGTTTCGAAAACGTTACGAAAACGCGTTAAAACACGGCTCGAAACGCGACCAAAAACCACTTTGCTTTTTTACATTTGTATCTCGTTTCGTTTCGTTTTGTTTTGTTTTTATCATTCGCCTTTATTTTTTTGTATTCTCTCTCATTTATTTATTTATTCATATGCCTGTTTATTGTGTGTGCTTTTTTTTACATACCGACGCCAAAGATATACAAAATGTTGTTGTTTATTTTTTTAAGCACGCATATTTTTTAATCGCCGGCGGTTTAAAGTCCAAGATGACAAGAAAAAGCTATAGTAAGGAGATCGCCCAGCAATGTGTAAAACGAGAGTTTATATATTGATGGTGACTGTGATAATTGGTGGTGGCTTGAGTGCATTACATTATTTTTCCCTTTCCCCCAAAACTGGTTGCATTGTCCAAGGAGGCACCTTGATATACTTCTATATATGTATGTATTTTCTTCCTTAAGCTTCCTGGTATCTCGAGCTCTCATTTTTCTTACACCTTTTATTATTTACTCGTTTACAGTTACAGTTCCTGTTCTACTTGTTCCCTTTTACTTTTTGAGGAATGCATTTATACATATATATATAGACTTATATGGTATATGGTTAAAGCCCTTTAAAATGGCAAATTCCGCAAGGTCTTGTCCCTTACTACCTTCCAAAAAAATACACAAAAGAGAGAAAAAACCTTTTAGGAATTTACACACAGCGAAAGGAAATACAAAAACCAGTCTTAATGCTGGAAAACAATTTTAAATATGATTTCTAGAACCTAAATTAAAACAGTTTACCGGTTTTAAGAGTTATAATTTGATTGGAATTAAAAAAAAAGTAAAGACTAGTCAGAAATATATTAAAAAAATTGGTTTATAATTAAAATACATTTTTTAAATATTAATTTTTAGAAAGAAAATAAAAAACCCTTTTAAATAATTACTCTCCCAACTAAATCGGACAAGATTTGTGCTAACCAGAGATATTTTAGTGACTATCTTCAATAAACCGCGTGGCTGCCAAAAAGTAGGCTATGTTTTGCGTATATTTTCATTTAAACCACAGAACTCTAAGAACATTAATTAAAAATAGTATGTAATTAATATTTAGATACTCTATCTCTTGTTGACCTTAATCTATGATCAATGGGTTATAGATAATACTATATATTCAGGGGAAAAACGCCCTTTTCCGCAGTGCATTTGGACTTTATTCTGACCAGACTTTCGGTGGCTAATCGAAGCAAACTTGATGCAGTGACACAGATAATTGTGTTAGCACCAACCGATTGACCCCGCCCCCTTCGTCTGACTTGGTTTGGTCTTTATATATATATTCTTTTAGTTTGTTTTTTGACAATCAAATGCCAAGGCAAGTTCTTGGCTTGATTAAATGCTAATTGAAATTGTACGGTGTATTTATCAGCAATCGAGAACCGAGTGTGTGTTTGTGTTGAGGCGACTGCCGTTGTTGGCTTTGTGAAAAATCATGATCTTGTTTCATTGACCCACATTGTTCGTGTAATAACCGATCCACAAGTAAGCAAAACTAAGCTGAACCTTATCTGATTTGAGTGGGGATCGCAATTCAATTGATTAATATATTTATAATATTTTTCAATAATTTAATTACAAATAGGAAACACAATTACATCAGGGAACTTCTCGGGAGTAGGTTCAGAAATTAATTCAAAATTTCCAAAACTAATATATATTATTAAAAACTTATTTTGTTTTTCAAACATAATGAATGCCTGCTGATATTACATCTTTTTCATTCAAAAATACCTTAAAATATTAATTTAATAGAACCAAAACCCACCTGCTGTGCTCTGGACAACTACAAACTGATAATACATATCGAAATCAAGTGAGTTAAAAATTAGAAGCTCTCAAAGAAAATGTGTTTAGACCTAATGAGTTAATAACTCATTAAAACACCTGAAAAAATTAGGGTAAATAAGAAATCGTCTGCTCATAATGAAGAAACTAAACCAAAAGATTGTACTTTAAATTGGTTTATGGTTTTTGCCATTATTGATTTTTCGTTTCAAGTATTTAGCGGCATTCTCAACGCTTAAATTACTTTTATGTCTTTTCCTTTCTTTTTTTGCACAGCATTTTTTCGTGTTTTTTTCTCATTTCTTTCATTCTTGTTTTGTTGTTTAGTTATTGGCCGCATTGAAATTTGTTATAAACAAATGTATTTTACGCGTATTTCGGTATGTGAGAACTCACAACAAGCAGAAAGTGAATTAAATGAAAATAATTTGTATGTATTTAATTATTCGTTCTTTCTTTCTTTTTTTCGCGCTCTTTGCCTTTTTGGAGATTCTCAACGGGTCCGGGATTGTTTTTTTCTTGGTTCCGGTTCGGTTCTTTGTGGTCTTGGGGTCTTTGGGTTTGTGACTGGAACTAACTTTTAATAGACTGTCCGCCGAACACTCGCCTCAACACACACACCACACACCCCGAACCTCCTTCCCTTCCATTCCCATTCCCTTTTCCAAAAGGCGATAAGATAAACCCCGCGGGCAGACCGAGAGAATTGGATTTCTTAGAGATTTCCCTCTAAAAAATAAAATAGTGTAGAGTAAATCTATCATAATTTCTAAAGTTAGCTGTTAACTATTTTCAATACAATAAAGTTTAGAATTATCTTTTTATTAGTTAAAATATGGTATTTAAGGATGAGACTTTTCAAAGAAAATGTCCTAGGTTTAGTGTTATAATTATGGTAAAAAATGGATATTAACTTATTTATTCAGCTTTTCTATTGTTCATATTTAATTATTTTTTCTGCCTACAATTATAAATATCTCATTTCCCGCTTTTTTAGAATTTTCTGTAATTATTATTATTCAAAATTTTAGATTTTCTACTTCTGGAAATACTTTATATTAAAGTGTAAAATCTATAATTTTAAATAATAATAATTACAGACTGTTATTCTATTATTATTATTATTATATTTAATTTTCTTTTTAATTTTTATAATTTTCCTGCTCATCAATTTAATCAATATTTAGTTCTCTGCGATCAGGTCATGATTTCTCAGCTGATAAAAATTCACCGCACAAAACTTTTAACTTTAACTTTTCTTTTTTTTATATATATTTTTTCAAATAATAAACGTTAATTAGGCACATCTACACCACCAACAACAACTAGAAAAAAAGGCGACAGACAGCAACAAAAACTACAAAAAAATAAAGTGCGAAAGATTTTTACCACGAGTTCGTAACCGAAATGCCGTAACTCGCAAACCGTTGGCCAAAAACCGAAAGCCATAGACGTTGGGACCTAGACCGGAGACCGTAGTAGCCCGAGCGTGGTAGACCGGAGACCGTGAACCGTTAGCGTAGCCGTAACGTTGTGAACACTTACGCTGAGATCGATGAACTAAAATCCGTAAAGAACGAAACACTGCAATGATGCTGCCGATAGGGGCATGATATAGTCTCGTTGGCGAACTGAGAGGGTCTTAATGACGTCAACGGGCGCACACGAACGGTCGATAAGGCTCTAAAAACCCGAATGCCTCGGCTGCCGATGAGACTACCTTGTACTCGCTGTACCATGAATTGGGGGAAAGAGAGCTAGTCCCAGAGAGCGGGCAGCAAGCAACAAGTGTACGCGTGGCCGAATGACGACAACGGGTTTAATTGATTTCAATGTGTGTGTGAGCACAGCGCGCGCCCCGTTTCTATTTACTGCTGTTGTGGCTGTTATTGTTGCTGTTGTTGCTGCTGCTGTTCTCGTTCGGCACTGATTGCAAACGCAGAATGATAAAGCAGCAACAAAGCTGTAGGGAGGAGAAGATTGGAAGATACAGAGAGAGAGAGAGAGAGAGAGAGCAACTGAAATCAATATCAAGAGATCTGCATGAAGCATCGCTTTGCTCAGCTAAACTGCAGTCGCACTAGCTTTCCCCAGCCTCCGCTCCCCATCCTCACACTATTTCGCTCTGTTATGCTCCTGACGACGCTGCGTATGCGCATTGTATTAGGGTGGACCTACTGGCAATTAAATATAATCAAATTTATTTAAATGATAAATAATTGACAAACACCTCCTAATATATAACCTTTTAATGTAGCTCTTATATGTCAGGACATGAACTTGACTTGTTACACTTGATACCTGATATTAGGTAAATATAGTAATGAACAAATATTTTACCTGAATATTTTTAGGTAAAAGGTAATAAACCCACATAAGCATGGTACAAGAATTCGGCATTAAGGCAATTTCAAAAGGATCACCCATACGCAGTGTTACCTTATCATGCATATTTATATATTTACAAGAAGTAAACATGTCACTGCAGTGTTATTTCAGTCGGATTCTCAAATATTTAAAATTTCGTTTACATTTTCCCCGTTTTTCCCATCTAGGTCCATCCCACCGTGTGCGTGTGTGTATGTGTGTGTATATTTTCAAGTGTGGCGGCGATGCGTGGCTGTTAATTAACACTAGGCAGCACACGTTCGCTTTGCGGTCAATTGCAGACAGTCAGGGCCACTCTACAACTCTACAGAACGGAATGCCAACATAGGTCCGCACATAGGCATGTACAAACGCAGATAAGTGGACAAATATACAAACATTAGCATTAGTATATACACGGGGGAAAACTATTTGGGGATTTATTGACATATCACATTAATTTTGTAAGTTATTTAAA